CTGGGGGCTGCTGCAGCCCCTTGCTTCGTTGATGCTGGTCCCCCCTCCTCTGAGGCTCGGTTTCCCCATTTGGCCACATTCCCTTTTAGACACAGATGGGGCACTGCCTGAATGGGCAGGAGGGGGCCCCCGCTGGTGCTGACGGGGAACTGCAGCTGAGGCGGGGGCCGAGGGGCTGGCACAGGCCAGCCTCGTTAAGCTGGCAGTCAGTCCTTGGCAGCATCTGCTTTCTTGGAGGCGGCTGGAGAAGGGCCCAGGCCTGGCTGTTGGAGGACTGAGGAGGCTGGGGTAAAGCAGAGGCCCTTTCTCAGAGGGGGCAGGATTTAAGTGGGGGCAGGGAGTTCTATGAACACTTATTAAGCACTTAGCGGACGCCAGCCCAGGCTGCTCAGGGCCTTTGCTGATGCTGTTCCAACTGCCAGGATCGCTTTTCCTTTTCATGGTGCCGGTCACTGCTCCTTCCAATCTCAGTCCAGAAGACACTGCCTCCGGGAAGCCTTCCAGATTCTCTGGAATGGCTCAGGCACCTCCTTTTGGATTACAACTGGGCTGTGGGCAGGTCACTTAGTCGATCAACAAATGCTGATGGAGCAGTTAGCAGGTGGCAAGCACTGTCCTTTAGAAAACCCAGTGGCACAGGTGTTATTACCATCCTCACTTTACAGATGGGGAAACCGAGGCTCAGAGAGGTTGAATGGTGGAGTGAAGCCATCTGGCTGGGGACCTGGTGCACAGTAGGACCTCAGTAAGAGCTGATTTCCATCCCCAGGGACAATGAGCTCACTTCCCTCTGGAAGGAGGCTCAGGCTAGAGGTGCAGAGATTCATTCATTCATTCACTAATATGTATTGGGCAGCCATGCAGTCCAGGTTCCACAAATGTGTCCAAGTGACAGGCAGTGCTGGATACCCCTGATATCTGTTCTCTCCTCTTGCATGGTAATAGAACCCCTTGTTTTCATCTGGACAGTTGGTCACTCAGAATAGACTACTTTTCCCAGCATCCTTTCAGCCAGATGTGGCCACTTGACTAAGTTCTGGCCAATGCAGTGTGAACAGAAGTGGCATGTGGGGTTTCTGGAAAGTGTCCTTAAAGGGAGAGGGTGAGCCCTTCCTTGTCTCTTTCTCCTCATTGCCTTGAATGCAGACATGATGGCTGGAGCTCAAGCAGCTGCTTTGTTCCATGAGGAGGTGGTGCCATAAGATGGAAAGAGTCCAAGCCCTGGACACTGTGGAGCCTCCCTGCCATCCCTGGACTGACAACTCACATTCCTGAGCAAATAAGCCCTGTGTGCTTAGCTGCTGTGGGTAGGTCTTGGATCCCACAACCATGCCCAAGCTGGACTACATTTGTCCCTCCCTGCTGGGCAGCCCCAGCCTCTGAGAGCCATCTGCATGGTCAAGGCAGTGGCCCCTGGATAGTGTAGCCTCCATTTGTGGCATTTGATCAGGGCAAGGGGGTGTCACCAGGCTGGAAATGATGTCGCTCAGAAAGTGGATGGGAGGGGCCGGCCCGGTGGCGCACTGGATAGTGCGCCGCTTGGGAAGCGCGGCAGCGCTCCCGCCGAGGGTTCGGATCCCGCATGCAGACCGGCTCCCGCTCACTGGCTGAGCGAGGCGCGGGAGCAACACCGAGGCTTGCGATCCCGTTGCCGGTTCCCGGTCCGGTACGGGGGCAACACTGAGGGTTGCGATCCATTGCCGGACACGGAAAAAAGACAAAAGACAAAAAAAAAAAAAAAAAAGAAAGTGGATGGGAGGTCCTCACCAAGAGCCTTGGTCCCCCAGGAATCTCATGTGGGGACCTCAGTCCACCTACTGGTGCCCCCACCACACACACACCAGAGCTATGACCGAGGGCCCATGCTGTGCCATCATCCATCCAAGAAGGGAGACCCCTCCCCTAAGCCACCTTGGAGGTTCCCAGCTACAACGTGAAGTGCAGACAGCAGAGCACAATTTGTAAGTTCTTCCATGTGTAAAACAGGAAACCTCTGATCGAAACACGAAGATGTGCTTGCAACCCACCAAGACCAGCCTGCCGGGTTCAAATCCCAACACCACCCACATGACTTGGCCACTCTGAGCCTCTGTTGTGGTCTCATTTGGAAAGTGGGGACTTGGAAGTATTGCTTAGAGGGATTTCCTCCAAATTACTAAAACCCTCCAATGGTTTTATCCAGCACCTCAGAATAAAATCCAAATTCCTTACCAAGCTTTGCAAGGTCTGCCTGCCTTGCTCCCTCACCCCCCCCGTCCCTCCCCTCACCCCTCTCCCCCTCCTCACTCTGCTGCAGCCACACGGGCCTCCTCGCTCTTCCTCCAACACTCCCGACTCGGTCCTGCCCCAGGACCTTTGCATGTGCTGTGCCCTCTGCCTAGAACACCCTTCGTGCACGACCACCTCCTTCTTACCCTTCCAGCCTCAGCTCTAATGTTCTTTCCTGACCCTCCTAACCATCCGCAAGTTCTCTCCATCTCATCACTCCTTTGTGTTTTATTCCTAGCACGTATCTGCAGCCGAAATCTCCATCTCCCACTCTGGAATATCAGCCCCACGAGAGCAGGGACTCTTCACTGCTATGTCCAAGTACCTGGACACAGCACCTGGCACAGAGTAGGTGCTCCCTGGAGGTTTGTTGGGCTGGCATCTGAGTCTTGCACGTGACACCTGCATTCACACCGTTCCACAGGAAGCTGTAGAGATGACCTTGACCCTCCTCCTCCCATGGTCTCACCTGGTGGCTACTTCCCATTGGTGCACAGCCAAGCAGCCCCCTGTCACCCACTGTCCAAAAGACTCCTTAACATGGCCCAGCCTTCCTGAGGAGGGGAGGCTCTGGAAGCCAAAGGAGCACCCTAACTTATCACTGTAAAATTAAACCACCTCTGATCTCGTCTCTGAACCCAACTACAAATTCACAGGAAATATCAGTCATGGAAATTAATGTGTTAAGTGACACCACATGGGACATGATTGGCAAAATCCAGAGCGGGAGCATCACAGCATGAATGATCCAGTTGCTTTAACAAATAAACTGCAAGAAGGGCTGGCCGGTTAGCTGAGTGGTTAGAACACAGCTTTATAACACCAAGGTCAAGGGTACCCTTGGACCCCTGTACCAGCCAGCTGCCAAAAAAAGAATAGATAAATAAATTGCAAGGAAAAATTTAGAGAGAGAGAGATGGAGGGAGAAGCTATCGAAGAAGAGACTTAGGAGACCATCCACAAATCTAGACTATATCCGGGTCCCACTTCCAACAACCTAAAAATATATGTCATAGAAGAAAAATGGAAGTGTGAGCTTTGTATGGATACGAGGGGTCTTCAAAAAGTTCATTGAGGGCCGGCCCGGTGGCGCACTGGAGAGTGTGCCGCTTGGGAGCACGGCGGTGCTCCCGCTGAGGGTTCGGATCCCATGTGGAGACCGGTTCCCGCTCAATGGCTGAGCGCGGTGTGGGCGCAACACCGAGGGTTGCTATCCCATTACCGGTCAGTAAAAAAAAAAAAAGACAAAAAAGGAAAAAAAAAAAAAAAGTTCATTGAAAGGTTCATGTTATCTTTTAATGGAAATCTATTTTTCCATGAACTTTTTGCAGTACCCTCAGATTTGATGGTATTAAAGAACTGTTATTTTAAACACGATACTGGCGTTTGTGAGGTTGTCTTTTAAGAGGTTTTATCTTTTAGAGCAGGTTTTCTCCCCCTGGGCTCTGTGGACATTGGGGGCTGGGTCATCCTCTGTGGTGGGGCCGTCCTGGGCACTGCAGGTGCTGAGCAGCATCCCTGCCTCCACCCGCTCCATGCCAGGAGCACCCCCCAGTCATGACAACCAAAAACATCTCCAGACATGGCCAAGTGTCCCCTGGGGGCAAAATCTCCACACCAGTTGGAGCTACTGCTTTAGGGACACAAATAGAAATGTCTGCAGATGAATATAGTGTCTGGAATTTGCTTCACAGTAACAAGAGAGAAAGGAGTGTGTGGAAGAGACCAGAGCGGCCATGAGTGTTGAATTGTTGAATCTGAGTAATGGGTACGTGGGGGGTAGGGGAGTCATCATTCTGTTCTCTCGACTTGGGTGTGTCTGGCATTTTCCATGATAAAAAGTTTGAAAAATATCACATTGTACCCCATAAACATTTCCAATTATTTAATTATTAAAATTAAATGATTACTTTTTAAAAATTTTTTATTTATTTATTTTTTGTCTTTTTTCCGTGTCCGGCAACGGATCGCAACCCTCAGTGTTGCCCCCGTACTGGACCGGGGACCGGCAATGGGATTGCAACCCTCGGTGTTGCTCCCGCGCCTCGCTCAGCCAGTGAGCAGGAACCGGTCTGTATGTGGGATCCGAACCCTCGGGCGGGAGCGCCGCCGTGCTTCCCAAGCGGTGCACTTATCCAGTGCGCCACCGGGCCGGCCCTAAATGATTACTTTTTAAAAAAAGCCTGAGCGATGGACAACTCCAGATAGCCTCGAGCTCAGTTCACTGGAACGTACCCGTGTGACCTTCTTCCTCGTGACAAAGGGACTGTGGTTCTGTAAGATGTGACCGGCGCGGAAAACCCCGTGAAGGGGATTTGAGAACTCTCCCTAGTACCTTTGTAAGGTTCCTGGAAATGTAAAGTGATGCCAAAGTAAGAAGTTTATTTTAAAAGAAAAAGTTTCAATGGAGAATAAGTAAGAATGTTGAGGAACAGCCATCCGAGTGCCCCGGGCTGGACTCTGTTCGTCCACGTCTTATGGCACCAGGACCAGAGCAGCCCTAAAAATCCCCCCAGCCCTCATATCTCCTCACTCACTGCAGAAACCAAGAGCCAGCCCGAGGCTCGGCTGCCATGGGGACCCCACGTGCAGCCCCAGCCAGAGGCCAGGTGGCCGGACAGCAGCCAGAGCGAGAATCCGCCTTCAAACCCACTTTATTCTCTCCAGCCCAGAAACAGTCCTCAGTGACATCCTCCCTGCCCCAGATCTTCACCGGCCAGGAGCTGTGGGTTTCAGGAGGGTCCCGGGGACCTGTCCGAGGTCTCAGCTGCCCCCAAGGAGGTGGCGCTGCAGCGGCGATAGGGGCTGGCTCGGGCCAACAGTTCCAGCCTCCGGGAGCGCAGCCGGGCCTGGATGACCCAGATGGGGGGCTGGTGCCCAGGCAGGGAGGGGCTCTCGTCGCCGAAGCTGTCAACAGTGGAGTCGGAGCCATCTTCAGTGCTGGCCACCGACTGCTTGCACATGGGACAGGAGCGCTGGGCAGCCTTGGAGAGCCAGGAGTTGATGCATTTACAGTGGTAGGTGTGGGAACAAGGCAGGATCTTGAGCCGGTCCCCCTCCTCGTATTCGTCCAGACAGATGGCGCACAGATCGTTGTGACGCGTGAAGGTGCGGACCTGGGCCTTCTGGCGGGTCTGGGTCTTGACCACGGGCTCGCGGGTCAACCAGCCCCGCAGCCAGAGCCACAGGTGGCGCAGGACCAAGAGAGTGGACAAGACCAGGGCCAGGGTGCGGCCCAGCACCCAGGAGACGGCCAGCACTGGGTGGCAGTCCAGGTCGGGGCAGGGCGGGTAGTCTGGCAGCAGGAGGACGTGGGCCGGCTTGTGGCAGCGCATGATGACCCGCAGGTCCTGCGAAGCGGCCTCGCCCACGAACACCGACGGGATGGAGATCTGGCGCCGCAGGTCCTCGTAGACAGGGGCCATGTGCACCAGGTCGTCAGAGCGGACGTTGTGCACGATGGCTGCCTCGAAGCCGGCCCGCTGGGCGTTCAGCACCTTGAGGTCAAACGTGCAGTCATAGCGGCGGATCAGCGCGATGGCACCCAGAGAATGGTTGCCCAGCCGCGGGCCCTCGATGGGCTGGCACGCGTTGGCTGGCTTGGCCTCCATCAGGTAGCCCCGCACACCCTCAGGGGCCAGGGGGACCCCAAATAGGGCCGGCAAATCTGCAAAGTCCACCGTGCTTGAGTTGTCATCCAGGATGGCCTGCACCACCGCCCCTGAGGGCACCAGCAGCACCAACAGGGCCAACAGAGCCTTGAAGACCACCAAGGCCAGGGCTGGCCACTGCCGCCCCATGGCCACTGCCTCCTCTGGCCGTGTGCAGCTAGGTCCCACTGGGGACGGCAGACGGGAGGCCTTCAGGCATCTCTAGGGCCTTCCAGGGGGGCTGTGGCTGGGGTGCTAATGAAGGGGAGATTGAATGGGCGGCTCCCAGGCAGTTTCTCAGAACAGCTGGACCTGGGTGGCTCTAGACTGAAGCTGCTTCTGACGAAAGCCCAGCGTGCATAGTGTCTTGTGGGGCTGGTCTCAGGAGCTGCTGACCCACATGGCCTTGCTGGCAAATGACACTGAGGCCAGGAGCTCACAGGGTTCTAGATGCCTCTGGCCACTGTGACATCATCCAGTTACAACCTGCCACCCAAACATCCCCAGATACCTGGGCCTGGGGCTGATACAACATTCCTAAGTCCCTGACGTGGGGGCCCTGGGCAGCCTCTGGAAAAACTTCTCGAAAGCTCAGAGCATCCTCAGCTCCTGGACCCAAGGAGGCCCAGGGGTGCTGCAAAGTGGGCTGGTGGCCACCAGCAGCATGGACTCAGCACACACACTCGTCTGCCAGAGACCCACTGAAGAAAGTGACCATGCTGCCCCCGTCTGAGAGTCCCAGAGGGACCCAGACTTGTTCAAGGCCCCTCCCCACCATGCAGTCAGCTCTTAAAACCCAAATTCCTCCCCCTCCTGCCACGCTCCCTGTCATTCATGCTGCTCCAGCCACACGGATCTCCTAGAGATTCCACCAACATACCAGGTGAGGTCCAGCAGCACCGCAATTTGCTCACCTCCAGAATATTGCAAATGCTGTTCCCTCTGCAGGGAACAGAATTCTCTCCCCTCAACCCCCTCTGCCAGGCGACTCATTCTGTAGGTTTTCTCTGTTGGCCTAATGCCTCCTGGAGCAGCCCTCAGCCGGTGACAGGTGGGAAGTGGTAGATAAACACCCCCACCCCTCGTTCCTCTGTTGAGACCAATCCGAGGCTTGTTCTATGGTGTCTCCCAGAGGTCCCTAGTCAAATGAGCCCCAGAAGTCACCTTCTCATCAATGCATCTTATACGTCTTCCTTCTTTCTGGTCTCACTTCTCTCCTCTCTGGAAGCTTCCTGAGATTGCCTCTGAGACAAACCTTTTGCACTGGGTAGTGAGTTGACCTGTGGCCTCAAAACGGGGTGTTGAAGTCCTAACCCTAAGGTGAATGGGACCTTATTTGGAAATAAGGTCTTTGCAGACATAATCAAGCAAAGATGATGTCATACTGAAGCAGGGTGGGCCCTTAATGTAATACGACTGGTGTCCTTATCAGAAGAGACAGAGACACACACAGGAAAGACCGCCACATGACAATGAGGCGGAGATCAGAGTGATGGTCTTCAAACCACGGAATGCTAAGGGTCGCTGGCAGCCACCAGAAGCCAAGAGAGAAGCACAGAACAGAGTCTCCCACAAGGAATCTGTGAGGCTTCCAAGAGCTCACAGGGGAAGGGACATATAAGGCACCATTATAAGTTTGATTTTCTTTTTCTGCTTCACCCCTGCCGCCCTCCCTAAACATCTCTAGCAGGGACCTCTGTCAGTGATGCCCGGAGGGGATATACCGGAGACGTTCTGGCTCCTCTGACTGTTAGACACAAAACACGTGTCCGATGGCGGGAAGGGATGTGTCCTACGTTCACCCTCGTTTCCCCAGAAGTTGAAGACATATCTCCTTCCTTGAGTGCATCTCCTGCTAAATCCCATGCCGGGCTTGCCCATACGTGGTCGGGTATACAATACACACGTGTGCACAAGGGGACTGTGATTCAGGAGACCAGTGAGGTCCCATGGGATGGGGGCCGGGGTGGGAGGAGGATTTCAGGGTGCGCCTGGGGGGTAGGGGCGGTCTGTGAGGGTCAGTGATAAATTACTGCTAAACTGACCCGCGGGCCAACTCGGACCTCTCTCTCTCTCCTCTGTCTATGTATCTTTCTGTCTGATTGTCCTTCTGTCTCTTAACGAATCTCTGTCAGACTCTCTCTCTCTCTCTCTCAACTTTTGCTCTTAGTTTTTCCATGTCTTTGTGTCAACATCTCTGTTCGTCACCCTCTTCCTGGGGCTGCTGTGCATCTCTGTCTTGCTCCTCTGTTCCCCATTTCTCCCTGCGTCTGTGTGTCCCTGTCTCTTAAGCACGTCTCTCTGTCTGTCCCTCTGTCCCTCTCCCCTTTGGTCATTCTGTCTAACTTCCTCTCTCTGCTGCTCTCTCTAAGCGTGTTTCTTTCTGCGTGTGTCTCTGTGCATGTCTCTCTAGGTCTACGTTTATCTCTGTCTCTCTCTGCCTCCCTGTCTTCCCTCCCCAGCCCCGTGCCTGTCACCTGTCCCATGGTTGATATGCACTGGATTTTGGCAGCTTGAAGGTGCAGGATGCTGTCTTCCTGGATCCAGATGAGCCTGAAGGGGTGAGAGGGGCGAGTTAGGTTGGAGGCCCCTGACTGACTGGGGGAGGGGGTCTCTCTCCCTCCCTGCACCTCAGCTTCCCCAGCTGTAGAAGGAGAGTGATCCAGGCAGAGCCACCAAACGTCTTCTGGACACAGTTGCCCGTGGGCCCTGCTGTCACCCGTTGGGCTTGGAGCTGTCATCTTCCCCATCTCTCCCAGGAGGAAGCTGGTGTACAGAGAGGGGACAACCCCCGTCCAAGGGCCACAGCTGAGAAGAGGCTGGACCAGGCCTCATCGTCCCCGCTCCCCTGCACCAGACTTCCCAACCCTCCTGCCCCGCTGGCTTCGTCCCATCTGGACCCCGGCCAGGCTGGGTGTCCGGCTGCAAATTAAACACATTTGCTGTCTGAGGTCAGACAGCTTCTTTTGTCTTCTCTCCTGTCCTGCTCCAAGGTCCCAGATTTTGTGCCAGGATCATTAAACTTATGGAGACAGAAAACACTGCCGGGAAGAGAGATCCATCTATACAGGGTGACATCCTGGGCTTGCACATGCCCCACCACCTTGTCTAGTGGCCCATATTCTGCACAGGGCTCATGGTGACTAGGGATTGGGAGAGAAGAGACACACCAATGGGCCACACTGCCTGGGAGCCAGACATTATTGTATTCCACCTCCTCATGGATGGCAGGAGAGAGAGGCAGGAACCAGCGTAAGCTCACCCAGTGAGTTGGGGACAAAGACTCAAATTCGTGTCACCTGATTCCAAGGGGCTGGCATTTCCTAAGTCTTATCTGGGTAACTCAGGAGTCAACAAATGATGGGCTAGTATTTGTTGAGCACCTGCTGCATGCCAGGCCCTGTGCTGAGTGCTCATGACACACTGACCCATCTAATCCTCCTATCAGCGCCATGTGGTAGATGCCAAACCCATTTCACAGATGAGGAAACCGAGGTCCATGGACTTCAAGTACCCTGACCCAGGTCACAGAGTTAAAATAAGAGATCCAGGATGTAAACAGGGGCAGTCTGACTCCAGGGTCGGCCTGCCTTACTATGACACACATGTGCCTGTCCTATTTCTCAGGACCTACTGTGTGCTGGGCATTGTGCTAGGTACTAAAGAAACAGCAGTAACCAAGACAGAATCCCTGACCTTACACAGACTATGATCTAGCAGGAAGGAGGAGAGACACGAACAAAAAATAAACAAACTAGTGAATAAGCTAACTATGAAACTAAGCCATTTAAGTGCTGTGAAGGAAATTGAGCAGGAATTGTGATTGAGAGAGGGCATCGTTAGCTGGGGAGGTCAAGGGAGATCTCCCCAAAGAGGAGACTTTTGAATGGAAACCTGAAGTGAGGGAGGAAGCTATAGGAAAGCTGGGAGAAAAGATTCAACTGGAAGAAACAGCATGTGCAAGGGCCCTGTGGTAGGAACAGCTTGGTATGCTCAAGGAACAGCAGAGAGACCGGTGGGGCTTCAACAGAGAGGGAGAGTAGGGAAGAGAAGGCAGGAAGGTGAACAAGATCGTGAAGGTCCTAGTGGGCCATGGCGAGTTTTGTTTATATTCTAAAGGCAAAAGGGAGCCATGGGAGGGGCCAAGCAGTGGAGGGCTAGGATCTGATTCACATCTTGAAAAGTTATCTCTGGCTCTGGGTGCAGAATACATTGAAAGTTGGTGAGGGCAGCAGTGGGAAACCAGGGAGGCGGCTGGTGTGGCCATTCAGGGGAGCCATGGTGGAGGCTGGACCAGGGTGGCTGCGGGGATGGAGAGAAGGGGACAGATTGGAGAGAAGGGGACAGACTGGGACCCTCCGGGGCAGTTTCAGTTCATCAAAACTTTGAATTTTGTATAAAGTTTAAATATTCCTCCTCACCCTTCTGGCTGTGGGTAGAAAGCAAAGGAAAGGGATTCTCTGTCCTTCCTCACTTGTCCCCTCCCTCTCCACATCTTGCTAAGGAGGGTTTTCAGCCTCCAGCTGACAAGGAGGATGTCAGGAAAGATCCTTGTTGACTGGTACTGTCGTAAGATGGCCAAGCTCTCCAGGCTAAGAAAGTATTTACATCTCTCTCTCTCTCTCTCTCTCTCTCTCTCTGCAAGCTCATGATGCCCCATAGTAATGACTCCCACACTCTTTGTCCTGACAACTTCAGGATGCCCCTGCTAATCTCAAGGGGACACTGACCTTTATTCCCACTGCTGGAGCAACTGCCAGCCCTCCCCATCCCTAGAGAGGGGCAGCCCCAGCTCCTCTGCCTGGGGGTGCCCTGTTCTATCATCCACGTGTATGCAGCAAGCAAGCCTTCCTGTTCATTGCCAGCGGGACTGCAAATGGACACACTCCCTAGAGATGGAATTTGCAGGCAATAGTTAGCAAAACTGCCAGTGCATCTGCATGAATGTAATATTTCACAATAACTCTGCTAATGTCCAATTAAAACTGCACTTTCTCTTTGATCCAGAGATTATATTTGTGGCCATTTATCTCACAGAGACACTGCTCATGCACAGTATTATTCTAATCACATAATAGAGGAAGCAACTGAGTTTATCAAGAGAACACTAGTTAAACAACTCCCGGTCCGTCCATGCAGTGGAGTACTATGCAGCCATGAAAAAGCATGGAGACCCTCTCTATTTATGAACATGGAAAGGCACAGGACCGTGTGCATACTACTTTATACTTTTCACTGTTGATTTCAAACCGTGTGACTGGATTCCCTATTCAACCAACAAAATAAGTGTTAAAATAAAAAGAGCCCAAGGACTAAATTTCTGTTTATTTTCTTTACAGATCTTCTTGATTGGTCATGTCTACTGTGTCTTGATATCTATGTCACATCTTCTGGCTTATAATTCAATTACATATATAAAACATTGAGGTGGGTGCCTAATAATAGCAGGTGTGCCACATAGAGCAGGTGCACAATAACTGTTGGCCATCTCTACGTGGAGAGCAGATGAGGTCCCTCTGAGGTGGTGGCCCTTAGCTGAGGCTTGCTGCCACTGCAAGACAGGCCAGTAGAAAAATCTGTCTTGTCCAAAAAACCAGCCTTGGGGACCTGTCCTCATACACCTCCACCCCCACCACTCCCTCACTCTGCACTGGGTTTAGATTTTCTTAATTGGGATCTTTTGCTGAGCAGCATTTAATTTTACTGAAGTCACAGTGACCAACTTTTTCTTCTTTTATGGTTATTGCTCTCTGGGTTTTAAGAAACCTTTGCCTACCCTGAAGCCACAAAAATATACTTTTGTTTTCTTCTGATGTCTTTCCAATTTAGGCTTTCATGTTTAGTCTACAATCCATCTTGAATTAAATCTTGTGTATGGTGTGAGGTAGGGATTAGGATTCATTTTTTTCTGCCCCGTATGGGTCATTGGTTGTTCCAGCAACTTTTGTTGAAAACACTTGCTTTTCATGGTTGGGTTTTCTAAAAGCAAAGGACTGTCTGTGTGTTGGGGGTTGGGAAGAGTCTTTTTGGGGGCTCTCTATTCTGTTCTATTGATCTATTTGTCAATCCTTATGTCAATACCACCTGTCTTGATTACTGCAGATTTATTGGACATGGATTTCAGAGAGCAAGATCCATGCAGCATCAGCTGTGTATACAGACTCCCAGCAGGGCCAAGGAAGCTGTTGGGAGATTAGAAGCATCTATGTTTTCTCTGGGTATTCATTAATGGATGAACACTCCTAGAATCTAGCATTTCCTACCATCTTTGCTTCTAGAACATACCTCCTTCTTGGGATGACACCAAGTCATACTTCCTGAGCACCTGGAATTTGCCAATTGGTGTAATTTTTTTTCTTTTCTTTGTTCACCAACTATTCACTAAGCATCTACTATGTGTCAAGCCCTGTGACTGGGACAGACCCTGTCCCCAGCCTCCTGTTCAGCATAGGAGGCAAACATTGAATTATGCCCAAACGAACGAGAATATTTTAGGTACTGATGAGTCTCATGAGGAAAATAAAACATGAGGAGATACGATAAAGTGTCTAAGAGGCAAAATCAATCGAAGAATGCTAGAATTACTGGGTGAACGTTGAAGGAGAAGCAAGATATTTGCATAGTCTCAAAGTAACTCCCCCAAGATACTTACTCATTGGAAAGTGAAAAGGAAGCTGGCCAGTTAGCTCAATTGGTCAGAGTGTGGTGCTGATGACACCAAGGTCCGAGGTTCGATCCCTACACTGGCCAGCCACCAAAAAAGGAATAAAACAGGTAAAGTAAAAACGTAAGTTCCTAAGAGGGAAATCTGGCTGAAGCCACGTTGGCCAGGGGACCAAGGTTAATGGCATGGGCAATGAGACATGTTGTGTGCCTCCTAGTTGGACACTGTGAAGAGGACACAGCAGCTCCCCCACCATGGGACTCAGGACAGAGATGCAGAGATGCAGAGCTCCCCTCAGATCACAAGAGAACATCAGACAAACTCGAACTGGGGGACCTTCTGCAAAACACCTGAACAATGCTCTTCAAAAGCGTCAGGGTTGTGAAGGACAAGGACAGACTGAGGGACAGTCTCAGATTGGAAGCGCTTATGGAGACGGGACAACTAAATGTCACAGGGGATCCCGGATGGGGTCCTGGATCAGAAAGAGGACGTTAGTGAAAAAACTGGTGAGGGCCGTCCCTGTGTCTCACTTGGGACAGTACGGCGTTGGGAGCGCCACAGCCACGGGTTCGGATCCTATATAGGGATGGCCAGTTCGCTCACTGGCTGAGTGTGGTGCGGATGACACCAAGCCAAGGGTTGCGATCCCCTTACCAGTCACAAAAAAAAAGAAAGAAAAGAAAGAAAAGAAAAAAACTGGTGAGTAGATTCATTAGCAACAATGTACCCATGTTAATGTCCTGGTTTTGATCATCCTACTGTGGTCATGTAAGATGTTAACTTTAGGGGAAGCTGGGAGAAGGGTATACAGAAACTCTGTGCCTTTTCTGCAACTTTTCTGTAAGCCTAAAACTATTTCAAAACAAAACATTAAAAAAAAAAACAAAAAACAGGAAGCTTTAAAATACCAAAAAAAAAAAAAAAAAAAAAAAAAAAAAAAAAAAAAAGGAAGCTTTAACGGGCAGCCCTGTACTGGAAGATGTTAAGCAAGAGAGTGATACAATCTGATTTAAGCTCTAAGAAGCTCCCTCTGGGAGCTTGGGCAGGTGTCTGGGGCAGGCGCCCAGGCTGGAGGTGGTGGAGGCTCAGACCAGTGCAGTAGCAGTAGGGGTGGGGCAAAAAAAAAAAAAGTCTGAGAAGGTGGCTATGGCTGGCCTAGAGGGTAATCAAAGATGTCCTCTCTGAGTGGGGGCATTTAAACTGAGACTTGAAGGGTGAGGAGGGGTTGGCAGGGAGAGACAGGATGGGGAACAGCAGAGTTCCAGGGGGCGGGAACAGCATGGGCAAATGTCCTGAGGCAGGAGGGGATCGGTGTGTCAGGAACAGGAGATTACAGCGTGGCTGGCGGGCATTGCTGGGAATAAAGAGGTAACAGGGCTGATGATGGATGGTCTTGTAGATCATGATGAAAAGTTTGCATTCTAAAGGATTGGGGGACAAGTCATGTATTTGGGAGATGATTCCAAGAAGCCCCAAGAAGGGAGCAGGGAAGCGAGAGAGAGAAGAGAAGCAGCACATAGGGGTGGCATTCATGAGCAGGTGACTGCCATGGGCAGGTGGGGCTCAGTCCCACGGGGGACCTCTGGGAGACTGTGTGGAGCATGCACTTCCCAGTTGTCCCACCCCGCAGACGAGGAGCTGGGGTATTTATGCACCAACCAATGCACCATTAGTCGGGGGCTGCTAGGAGGAGCAGCATGAATTTGGTGACAGTTCCAGCCTGCCATGGGCGGTAGCGGAGTATCTCAGGCAGAGATCCAGAGCAGGAATGCCAGCCGCCAGTTCAG